CCTGGTCTCTAGTCCGGGCGTCATTCTGGCAGAATGACACTTGGGGTTAGCGAGATTGTATGGAGATCCGGGGTAGTGCACGGGCCATTCCTCCAGAACAACGTTCCGCCAGGACAACGGCAATGATTGGCATTCGGGGTTAACTGTCAACAGGGAATTAACCCTGAATGCTAATAACAGCAATAACAGCAATGACAGCAGAAAGAGATAACTATAAGTAAACAGGAAATCAATGCATTTACAAAAATGCTAAGAAGTAAGTTACCTGGTTATATCAGTAAAAGTATATAATTTAAAATACAGTTTAATTATATATTACTACAGCAATAGCAAAAAGCAAGTTTCTATTTATGTAAATAAAAGTTACGCCAGCTTGATCAAAGACCAGAAAACTTCAACCAGTCTATTCACAGACCAGTAAGCATCAGCGGCATTGCTTTCGGCCTAATCAAACAACTATCACAGAAGCAGGGGACTAAACAAGTGCGCCATGACTGACAGTACAGCAGACCACATAATCCAGCTTTGCGAGCGGCTCAATATATTAGTTTGTCTACTTTGCGAAGCAGCTATCAAGCCCGAACCGGCTCAGGTAGAGCGTCACTATCGCAATTGCCATAAGACTATCGGACAGCCGCTACAAGAAGTCATCGCGTTTGCCGAATCGTTCTCATCATCAGGATGGCGCCCCCGGGCACTACAAGACCCGACAGATGCAAACATGGAGCTGCCACCAGATGGAAGCCCGCCCATCCCCGGACTAAAGACATACAGGGGACTCAGCTGCGAGAGCTGTCGATTTCTAACCCGCAACAGTCGGAATCTCGCCACGCACGAGACCCGGGCGAGGCACTACAGGGTGCAGGTCAGCGGCAGGGGAGGGAGCGGCCGGGCGACGGTAATGCTTCAGTCACTGCGCAAGGCTCCGCACGCAAGGTACTGGGTTGTCAATCCAGCCGCCGTATGGGCCGACCGCAGCGGCGACAATAGCAGCAGTACGGCTGAACAGGGGGATGGTGGCGGTGATGGTGACACTGACGGTGACACTGTACTGCTACAGACCGTCCGGGCGTGCGAGAAGGATCTGAAGGAGGCGGAGGTGGAACGGCAGCGTCAAGTAGAGGCACCGGGCGGAGTTGACACTGAGTCGAGATGGGTGCAGTTTATGAAATGGTCGGCGCACTTGCAGCAGAGGGACAAACCGACGCTGTACCAGGCAGGGTTATCACCGGCTTCCGCCGCAGTCGAGCAGCGGATGTGGCCCCGGGAGCGCCGTGAAGCGAACCAGAGGCTCCGTGAGTTGACCGAGAGCTTCCGGCGCGAGCTTGGCCGTTGCATGGAGAGGCTGGATAGGGTGCCGGACGAAACGCTCGAGTGGCTCGGCAGCATTGACCCGACTAAGCCAGTATCGACCCCGTTCGGCCGAAAGCAGCAGTCAGATACGATGGATAGGTACAGTGCGTGCTGGCAGCGGTACTTGTGCTATTGCGTCCGGATCCAGCCGCTTGGGCGCGATGGAGCTAAGACAGAGCACGGTATCCGATTTACGGAAGAGCAGTGGAATTCTCTGACCGATATCGTCCAGCGACTTGATACTGTTGCTGACAAGAAGAAGGAGAAGAAGCAGGGGCAGCAGCAGGTCATGAAGGGTAGCAGAGAAAGAGACCGAGACCGAGGGAGCGCCGAGGGTAGAGAAGATGGAGAAGAAGAAGACCCCGATAAAGAGGCACTTGACGAGGCCGTCTTTGACTTCTGCATTAAGTCAATTAAGCAGAAGCTTGGGAGGAAGCAGTATCACAACCCGCTGCTCCACTTTACGGCCGTACTGGGTATTAAAGAGGATGGCACGTGGGTGCCGTCCCATACACATACCCGGTTTCTCGCCGGCTTCTTATGGTGCGGTCGGATTCTGATGCTAGAGCACTTCTTTGAGGATGACCCGTACGACTCCGAGGACTCGACTTGCGACACCAGTTTCGCGGCTATCGATCGGTTCCAGAAGGGTCATCGCGATTGGCTCGCAACCGGCTCGTATACGCCGTTCAGCGCTATCATTCAGTGGATGACGTACGGAAGGGGCTACCGCAATCAGGAAGGTGGGCAAGCGCGGGTGCTATGGGACAGTGATGGCACGACGCTTAACTATCTAGGCGATAAGATCACCGTGGACAGCTTTCAACGGGCAGCGCAGGCGGTCGTGCGGGAAGCCGAGGGCTGGCTCGACAAGCTTATGGGCGGACAATGGAGTCAGATCCGCGAAACAATACGGCTACGGGACATCGCCGATAGCTTGGTGT